CCCCTCGGTCACTGGGGAAACGCAAACTTAAAAAATCACAGGATACCGGCCCATGAGAATGGCGAAGCTTGCAAACCGGAGCGCACCAGTGTCAGCCAGATCGCGGGGGGAGCCCCGCCTCGCAGGCGGAAATGTAAAACGATTCCGTTGGCAACGTCTCTCTTCTCAAACGGTTAAACATAAACCTCCCATGTGATCTAAGTCATTCTCCTGAGCATTTACCCACGAGAAAAGGAAATGTTTGTCCCCCGTAACGACTTTCACATGAATGTAAATACCGCTTTGTTTTCCATCGTGGTCGAAAAACTGGAAGCTGCCCAAACGTCCATCAGCGGCTGAATGGACAAACAAGCTGTGGTGTGTCCATAGCATGCACCAGAGGAATGCGGGTGGACGCACGCGAGGCGCGGATGAGTCTCACAATAGCTATGCTGGGGAAAGAAGCCAAACAAAAAAAAAAGAGGCTATACTGCGCCTCCATTTAAGGAAAACTCCATAACGTGCGGGCTGACCAGGTCACCACGGGCGCCTGGGAGGGCGGGTGGAGGGGCGCACAGGGAGGGAAGGGAGAAGGGGCCGCAGGGGCCCGCGGACACGTCTGGGGCCCTGGCCGGCTGTGTGCGCCCCCACGCACCCGGGGACTAAGGAGCCGTGGGCCTCGCGAGGTGTGCCCACCCGGCCGCGTGTCAATGGTACAGCGACTAGAGGCGGTTTGGAAAATTATAAGGCAGGCGGCGAACCGGGAAAACGTTCTGAGTCAAACAGGGCGGGCGAGACTACATGAAACGCACCTGGAAATCCACAGGAATCACGAACACCCTGATAGGTTTGCCGGGGCTGGGGGGGGGCATACCCAAGGGCCACAGACGGCGTCTTAAACTAGAGACACTTACGGTGCCCCGGTCCCGGAGGCTGGAGTCCGAGATCCAGGTGTGGGCAGGGCTGGCTCCTCCTGAGGCCTCTCTCCTGGGCGTGCGGACGGCCGTCTTCTCTCCCTGTGTCCCCACATGGTTGTCCCTCAGCGTGTGGCTGTGTCCTGACCTCCGCTTCTTGTGAGGACGCCAGTCACACTGGGTGAGAACCCGCCCCAGTGGCCTCAGTTTACCATAATCACCTCTTTAAAGACCCCCAACTCCACATACAGTCCCATCCTGAGGTCCCAGGGGTTAGGGCTTCAGGAATGAGCAAAAAACATACATAGACAAGCCACGGGTTCAGAAAAACAAAAACCGGCCAACCCTGTAAGCGCATTCGCATCGCCGTAAATGAGACAGCAGGTTTACCTCCGGGTTTCCCAGGCTGCTCGCAGTGGCGAGGACAGGCAGTCCTTGTGTGCCAGGCCCTCCGGGAGCCAGAAGTGCCTCTGGGAAGCCGGGCATGGTGCCGGGCAGGTGCCAGGAGCCCCCGGGAGGGAGTCCCAGGCCTCCCAGGAGCATCCTCCGGCAGGTCACCAAGGCCGGCAGGTCCCAAGGGCCGTGGTCTGGACGCGGATGTCAAACGCTCCTTCAGCCTGGCCGGCAGATTTGGGCCCATTGTGCTTGCCAGGTGACCTCGGCTCTGGGGGGGGGGCGTGGCCTGCTTGGAGTCCCAAAGCCACTCTGGTGAGGTGCTGGGGAGGGGCAAGCCTGTCACCCTAACCTGGGCCGTCCTGCCTGTGCCAGTCTCACCAGACTGGCCGCCAGCCACACACATGATCACCTGGCACTCATGGAGCCTTGGAGTCAGAAGGGAACCACCTCACCCACGAGGGAGGCACGGGGGCAAGACTGCCACCTGAGATACTCAGGGTTGTGGGACCCAGGCCCAGCCGGCTGGCTTACTGCCTGAGCCCCCTGGGACCGGAAACCCAGGGCACCCACGTAGGGAGGGGCACACGGAGCGAGCGCGGCTGTGAGCGCGGCTGCTGTTTATCGGAGCTTCACAGTTAGCCGGGCATCCTGTTTTCTCTGGCTCCCCTCTCCTGGGGAAGCCAGGCCGCTGAATTCAGGAGGCAGCGCGCCCAGCAATGATGGGACAGGCCCAGGGACACAGGGGAAGGAGGAAGTGACACACGTGGGCTTCCCAGGCGCCGCTGCCTGGGGGTGGGACCCCCGGTGCTCAGAAATCCCAGGCCCTCGGGGGAGGACCCGGTGGGCAGATAATCAGAGAGGTGAGAGCTGAGTGCTGAGGGCTCCGCACTGAGCAGGGCCCCCAAGCCCAGCACGGGGTCTCCCTCCGCCCCCCTCCTCAGCCTCACAGGACTTTGAATCCAATTTCCGGCCACATCTCTGCACGTAGCATCTCACCTTCAGTCAGAACATGGCCTCGGAGTCAGCACTTCATAAAAAGGAGAAAGCCTGCTGCCTCCCGGCTGGGTCCCCTCTCCAGCTCCGTCCCCCTGGCCCCCTGCAAGTCCTCTGGTCTTGGCACAGTGGCTTTTCTGACACGGTCCCCCTCCATCAGGTCCCCTCCGGGACCCCGGCATCCCACATGGGCCTGGAGAGCAGCAGGGGACAGCCCGGCCCTTCCCTGGTCATCCCTGGCAGGCAGGCTGCAGCCCACTGCCCCGCTGACCCTTCCCCTGTGCCCCATCCTCATGTGCACCATCCCAGGTGAATCTACTATGTGGTTCCCTTCAGCAAACACACCAAGGAGGAGGCCTGCGGGCCCCCCACGGCCGGGCCTCTCGGAGGAGCACAGCGCCCACCTCCCTGCGGGCTCCCTCTGCTCGCCCTGAAGCAGCCACCAGGTCCAGCCCCTCGCCACCTTCTCTGGGTCCCATCCCCACGCTGGAGCCTGCTCCCTGCCTCTCCACGGCCTCCTCCCAGAGCTCTTCTCTCCCTGCGGCTCGCTTGACACTCCCCTTCACTGCCCTCCCTGCCCTGCAGAGCACGTAGGGCGCTGTAGGGTGCAGCAGGGCACAGGCCCGGCGGGGGCAGGAGGGAGAGGCGCCCAAGGGCGCTGGGGAGGGGGCTCGAGCCCGGCTGGGTGGGGCTC